GAAGAACTACGCGATTTTGCTATGAAATCCCCACAGACGGTGCCAAATTGTTTGCTCAAAAGTTATTACATATCTTGTGAGTGTAAAACAATACAAATAATCACGGGAAAATTATAGCAAATCGTAATAATCCGTTGGACCAAATGAAAGAAACGAGAATAAATGCTCAGAATTAGGGGGAGAAACATTCGAAACCTTTATTGATAATATTTGTTCGGTCTGCCTCTCCATGAAGAGGTTCAGAGCCTTACAATGGTGTTTTCTCTTCCCATGAGATGGGTCTATTTTTCCCTTCTCTCTACTGTCTATAGTGGTGAAGAAGCAGCCCCTTTTTAGGGCTTCTACTCTTAGTATTTATAGCTGTGGGCTTCGTGAGCTGGCAATAAGTGGCCGTGACCACGTTGGGATCTCGCCTTTATGGTGGCGGATAGGCCATGGCCTTGTCGATCGCGGCGGATGCGGGTTGAACATCGTCAAGTCTGAGTGGTCGTACCACTAATTAATCATGAATTAGCTTGAAACGGGATTAGCCTCGTTAATTATCGTGGGGTCGGATTCTGACCCATACAGTGATCACTTTTGGTGATTTATATATATAATTTTATATATATGTAGTATAAGTATTTGTGAGAGTTAAGCTTTACGAAGTGGTGGTTACACCGATTATGTTATATGAAGTAGAGTGTTGGCCAGTTAAGAACTCTCATATCCAAAAGATGAAAGTAGCCGAGATGAGGATGTTGGGGTGGATGTGCAGGGATTTCAAGAAAGATAAGATTAGGAATAAATTTATTCAGGACAAGATGGGAGTGACCCCTATGGAGGACAAGATGCGTGAAGTGAGGTTAAGATGGTACAGGCATGTGAAGAGGAGAGCGTTGATGCCCCCGTGAGGAGTCGTGAGAAATTGGCTGTGGTGGGCATGGAGAGAGATAGAGGTAGGGCTAAGAAGTATTGGTATGAGATGATTAGGCAGGACGTAACGAAACTTAAGCTTACTAAGGACATGACCCTAAATAGGAGGATGTGGAGGTCGAGAATTATGGTAGAAAGGTTAGGGTTAGCTGGGTGTATTCCATTCTCATCCTAGTGGCAGTAGTATTAGTCTTGAAGTCTTTTTTTTTTCCCTCTCCGTAGAGCTATATTCCTACATGTTATTTCTTCGATTTAGCTAGTTTACCATATCGTTGTTGTTTATATATTGATGTTGTTATTGCTTATTGCTACCGTTCCTTTTCATTTTTTCTTTGAGCCGAGGGTCTTCGGAAATAGCTTCTTTACCTTCTCGAGATAGGAGGTAAGATCTGCGTACACACTATTCTCCTCAGACCCTACTTATGGGATTATACCGTATATGTTTACGTTGTAGTATAAGTATTAGATCGTCTATTATTACAATTTGATTTATAAGTGAGTTTAAGTTTGGGATTCTAATAGTTGTATGTATTAAAGTTTCATTTTATGTCCTAAATTGATAGTTATATAGGATTATTTTTTGTAACTAAAAAGACACTCTATTTTACCTAAATATCATTAAAATAAGTATTTCTTTTTTGTAACCAAAAAAGTAACTTAGTGGGCGTTTGGACATGAGAATTGTAAAATTCCGGAAAAAAGTAAAAAAAAAAAAAGATTAAGTAAAAATGGCATTTGAAAATTAGAGTTGTGTTTGGATATGGATATAATTTTGAGTTGTTTTTAATTTTTGTGTGATTTAAATAAAAATTTTGAAAAATAACTTTTTGGAGTTTTTCAAAATTTCAAAATTTTTTAAAATTTATCTTCAAGGAAAAATTAAAAATATTATGGTCAAATACTGATTTTGAAAAAAAGAAATCGAAAAAAAGTGGAAAAAAGTAGAGACAGGAGGAGGACCAAGGCAATATTATATGTGTCAAGAGTTAGGAAAACGTGGAAAAACAACTGCCCACCAATCTCATTAATTAATACTTTGATTAATTGTAGTAGTAGTAATACATAAATGTCCCAAGTCCCAGCTGATTTGTATAGTATTGTCATGTCTTGCAAGAAATGCATTATTAGAAATCCTAAAAATGCATCACCACCTTTAGATCTTGAATCTTACTTGTTCGGGGAGGCGGAGTCAGGATTTGAAATTATAGGTTCGGGATCTTACTCTTTTAAGTTGTTGGATTCTAAATTAATAATTTATACATGTTCAATAAATTTTTAAGGCAAATACATAGTTTGGACCAAGGCTACTGGGATCGACTGAATCCGTAGCTTCACTCTCCCTCCACGCCTGGTTGTTACATCCTGCATGCACTGATGTGCAGAGACGGATGAAGAATTTGAAGTAGTTTATGAGTTCCTATAGCGCCTTCAGTTTGATTTATGTAATAATAACTAGGTTCCTAATCACATATTTATAGATATTTAATGAATTTCTTAATATAAATGTTATTGGATTCACGTGAACCAGTAATTAGCAACTTAGATCCACCCATGCTGGCCTGCAAGCTTGTATAAAGTGAATAAACTTTAAGTTTTATACGCTGATATTGCGACCAAAAAAAAATTATATAATCAATACGATTTGAAAAAGTGTTCAAAACCACTTTTTGGTTTTTGAAAAACTCATTTTCGAAAAATTTCCAAAAACTTATAAAATTTCATAGACAAACATGTTTTTTTAAATCGAAAAAAGAAAGAAAAAAATATATGGACAAACGGGTCATAAAATTCACTTCACTAAATTATGTGCCTAATAATGTAACTGCTAATCTTTGCATGTAATTATTGTTCAATAAACACCAATATTATTCTTGTATATGACAGCAACAATAACACTTACATCTTTACCACCAAAGGATGTGGTGCAGTGAAGAGGGTTGCTCCTCCCTTAACCAGAGGTCTCGAGTTCGAGCCCTGATTATGGAAAAATCCTAGGTAGGGAGCGCTACCCCCGAATGGGGCCTTACCCGGCGCGAATCCGGATATAGTCGGGCTCCAATGCGGGTACCGGACACCGGGTGGGAAACCAAAAAAGAAAAAACACTTGCATCTTTGAAGAAAACAATGAAAAACTAGGATTTGAATGTCATGTTCTGCATGTTGCACTTTGATTTTGAGACTAAATGCAAAAAGAATATAAGTTACAAATTAAAAAAGCTGATTATTACATATAAATCTTGTAATAAACAAGTTAATCAATGGATGAAAAAAGGACTGTGTCCAAAATATACAACCTACATATTTCCATTCTGTAAATAGTTATTCCAGAACTAATAGTAGTTACTAACCTACTACCAAAACTTTGTACTCAACTCATGCTAATGAGCAGATTCAAGGAGCTCGCGCAACTATTTTCTGCTTCTCAGAAACTTGCATATTGCTGAGGCAAACGATTCAAAAAGCTCCCTTATTTTTTATCACTAGTTGTCTTCGGACGTTTCTGACTCGTCTCCTGTTGAAAGACAAATATTCAACAGATAAAAAATGTGTTTCACACTTGCTGTTATAGAGAGGAAAAAGATACTGAAAGTCGAGTTGCCAAACTAAAAATAAGTGGTTAAAGACGGGAAGTATAGTACAATGCGCTCCTCAAAGAGGAGGTGATTCGTACATACCGTTGGGTGTCAAGCACAAGATAGCATGAAACTAGTGGCGAGGCTAGAAATTCTAACAAGTGGATTCAAAAAATGCAAGAATGTCACTCCTAGGATTCAAACTTGCGATCTAAAGCAATATTTGAACAATCTTTGTCGTTACACTAAAAGCTTCCCTTGTCTAAATGGATTTCACCAGTTTATAAAACAACAACTACCAGCGGCGGAGCCACATGTATTCAAGGCCTTCGCTGGAAAATTATACTGTGTAGCTAGATGAAAAATTCCCTTTTATGTATATATATTATATATTGACTCCCCTTGACTTATTCCAGAGTTTACTTCTTATATATTTTGACTTCCCTTAGTGAAAAATCCTAGGTCCACAACTGACAACTACATCTTAGTCCCAAACAAGTTGGGATCGGCTACATGAATCCTCACTGACCATGTTTCTCCATTTAAGTCATGTCATCATCATACCAATTCACCAATATATATATATATATATATATATATATATATATATATATATATATANTTAGGTTAGTTAGGTATTTCCATTTCAAAAAAAAAAGTAAAAAATAAAAATTGGGTTGCGCTATATATATGAAAGAGTATACAATAATGATGTATTTGGCAAATCAAATACCATGGTCTAATAATCAAACATTCTGATTAGTTGATAATATTAGTATTAGTTGGAAATTTTGTGAAAGATTCCTGTGAAAAGTTTCATTAACGCGGAATTCGTGTCGAGTAGACCTTGTTGTTGTGAGAATTCTTAATTCATGAGTTGTTGGGAGGGATTTATGTCACCACAAACAGAGACTAAAGCAAGTGTTGGATTCAAAGCTGGTGTTAAAGAGTACAAATTGACTTATTATACTCCTGAGTACCAAACCAAGGATACTGATATATTGGCAGCATTCCGAGTAACTCCTCAACCTGGAGTTCCACCTGAAGAAGCAGGGGCCGCGGTAGCTGCCGAATCTTCTACTGGTACATGGACAACTGTATGGACCGATGGACTTACCAGCCTTGATCGTTACAAAGGGCGATGCTACCGCATCGAGCGTGTTGTTGGAGAAAAAGATCAATATATTGCTTATGTAGCTTACCCTTTAGACCTTTTTGAAGAAGGTTCTGTTACCAACATGTTTACTTCCATTGTAGGTAACGTATTTGGGTTCTAAAGCCCTGCGCGCTCTACGTCTGGAAGATCTGCGAATCCCTCCTGCTTATGTTAAAACTTTCCAAGGTCCGCCTCATGGGATCCAAGTTGAAAGAGATAAATTGAACAAGTATGGTCGTCCCCTGTTGGGATGTACTATTAAACCTAAATTGGGGTTATCTGCTAAAAACTACGGTAGAGCTGTTTATGAATGTCTTCGCGGTGGACTTGATTTTACCAAAGATGATGAGAACGTGAACTCACAACCATTTATGTGTTGGAGAGATCGTTTCTTATTTTGAGCCGAAGCAATTTATAAAGCACAGGCTGAAACAGGTGAAATAAAAGGGCATTACTTTATGCTACTGCAAATACATGCGAAGAAATGATCAAAAGAGCTGTATTTGCTAGAGAATTGGGCGTTCCGATCGTAATGCATGACTACTTAACTGGGGGATTCACCCGCAATACTAGCTTGGCTCATTATTGCCGAGATAATGGCCTACTTTTTCACATCCCCCGTGCAATGCATGCGGTTATAGATAGACAGAAGAATCATGGATAAAGGGATATAGTAGTAAACATGTCAACATCTAGAGATTAACGTACACAACGCCCGAAAAAGAAATAAAAGAAGACAGAAGTAAGGCAACCAATTGTGTCCTTTCTGCTCGTGATGTCCGAGACATTTGAGGAATCTCAGATATATCCATTTATTGCAAAAATATGGCGTCATTGAATGAAGAACAACCGCTACGGACATAATTTATGTTCAAAAAACTAGCCTCATTTTGAAACAAAGAACACTAAATCCCTCAATGTTTTAGTACCCAAAGACTTCAGCTTTAATCTACGTACTTTAGGCTTGGCTGGTAGGTACTGGCAAAAGAAAGAATAAAAGCAGAAACTAGCTACAAGAGGAAATTAATAAATGAGGTTGGACTATTTAAATATTGGGACATTAAGATTGATATTTCTCCGCTTTTGTAAGAGTAGTATGGCCGATTGAAAATGCGTACAGAGAGGGACAGATAGGGAAAGTACCCATTCCAGGAACTTGATAATCATTCACTACTTTGAAATTTTTGTACGTGTATCCGACAAAGTTGATGTCCTTAGACGAGAGCATCTGCATGCATGGTAAGAATAAGATAGATAGGTCATACAAGAAACTGCGGAAACCAAAATTATACAAAGTATGAAAGGAACAACAATAGGAAAAAACGAAGCAATTATGTATGTATGCATGGTTATGACAAACACTTATTTTAAACAATGTCATGTTCATCATTGTGCCCGATGTAACATGTTGTGTACATGTCAAAAATTACCGATATTGCTACGAGGTAAGTGAATGTAGAATCAAACTACATGCCCACATGATTATGAGAGTGAATACCTTTCTCCAAGGACCAGATCTTGATCCACTCTGAGAATGAGATTCAGACTGCAGAGCCAACGAAAAGATTTCAAAAGCTAGTAAAATATTTAAAAATAGTAAATTAAGAGAAAAGGGATATTCCAACCAACAAAGGTTGTGGCGGAGTGGTAAGTACTCATTCATCCTTTACCAGATGTCTCGGGTTCGAGCCCCGTGTATAGAGTCGCTTTTGTTGGGGAGTGCTTTATCCCAATGTGGGACTTGAAGCTGGATTTAGTCTTGGCCCCAATGCGAGTATCGGACACCCGGCACGAAAACCAAATAAAAACAAGGGACATTTCATTGGGGCTTTGGTCTAGTCGTAAGAGCGCAGCGTATGATGTGCGGGTTAGGCGCATGCAACGGGTTTGAAACTACAACAAATGCCTGGTATTTAAGTGGATCATCCACTGAGTTCCAAACGATGTGCCACTGGCCACCGCGGATTTCCCGGTTATCAATTTTTAAAAGAAAAAGGGGACAGGGACGGAGATACCTCCTCAAACTTCTCAAAATTTTGGGTGTCCAACTCATCATTGACTTCAGGAATGAAGGCAGCTTCCATTTGATAGATTCTATCCCAATCTATCCCTTTAAACCACGAGTGGACCTGAGATGAAAAGAAAATAGAGGAGAAAAAAAAGAAATCACCAGGTTACGGTTGCAGTTAATCCCTAAACCGGCTACAGGACATAGCGTAGGACACACCATACAACACCTTTATTTCATCTGCGCCGTTGGAACCAAGTCTCTCGGTGACATTACAAAGAAGTTTGCTTATAATATCTTTCGCTTCTGGAGATAACTTTGCTTCTTCAGGAAATTTTAAATGATTTTTCCAGTTTACTATCTGCAAGGACAAAAGGAAATTTCCTGAGATGATAAAATTCCATGGGAGCTTTCATCTAGTATTTTGTGAAAGGAGAAACTGTTTGACGAATCAATAGAATATATTAAGGCATCCAGAAAGCCGAAAAGAAAAAAAAAAGAAACAAAAAGAACATATACAGGTAGTCATAATTGATCACCTTCCTACAAGTTGACATGGGATCATCAGAATAGAAAGGCGGATAACCGACAAGCATTTCGTACATAATAGCACCGAGCGACCACCTGCAGAATAAAAGCAAATTTATAGCAAATGGATGCGGAAAGAAGAAACACATAAAGCGTATCAACTAGAATCCACCCCTCCCTAAGACAGTTCCCTTAAAAAGATAACACAAACGGAAGAGAAAATGAGAAAAGGACGAGGGAGAAGAGAAGGGGTGGCGCTGAGCAGGGAAAGAACCAGTGGCAAAGCCACATTCAACCAAGGGGTGTCAGTCGACACCCCTTCACCGGAAAATTATACTATATTGCTAGATAATTTTTTTATTTTATGTATATTTACTATGCGTTGACTGCCCTCGACTTTTTGATGTATCTAATTTTGTATGTTTTGACACCCCTTGGTAAAAATCCTGACTCTGCCACTAAAAAGAACCGCTTGAAATTGCACAATGGAGCTACTCCTTTGAAAGACATACGGTCAATGTTTCCCCAAATTTACGAAAACCAAAAAAACGTGCATTCCAACTCCTCATTATTTAATACAGAAGTGTACTAACCAGTCACATTCCATGCCATAACCTTTCTTCAGCAGGACCTCAGGAGCAATATAGTCTGGTGTGCCCACTGTGGAATAGGCCTGGATTTCCCAAACACGGACAATTAAATAAACAAGGGGAACAACATCAATAAACACTCATAAAATCACATAAAGAATGTTGCTTCTAAGGTCAACAATTAAACAGTACATGATACTCCCTCTGTCCCAATTTATATGACGGTGTTTGACTGGGCATGGAGTTTAAGTAAAGAAAGGAAGACTTTTGAAACTTGTGGTCTGAAATGAGTCATAGATATTTGTGTGGCTATATATCATCTCATTAAGGGTAAAATGAGCATTTAAAAGTTAAATTGTTACTAAATATAAAAAGGTATTATTCTTTTTGTGACTGACTAAAAAAGAAAGAGTGTCACATAAATTGGAACGGAGGGAGTAGTAATGATTGTTTCATCTTCATTACCAACCAGGGAATGACATAGTGAAGTAGAGTCCCCTAAATATTATAAGAAACGGGAAAAGAAGTACGACGAATGGGAATACCCACATGGTAAAGAAACTTACAAGCATCCTCCTATTTTTTTGCCAGTGTTCTAGCTGCTCTTGCTGAGTGCGTTTGGGAGCGGGAGGGCTATCACTCCTGGAACCTCCATTGGCACTATCCCCGACTGAGAAATCCTTCTCTTCCAGGGTACTACAGTCTAACGGCTTACATAATCCAAAATCTGATAGTTTTAAATGACCATATCTATCGAGGAGCAGGTTATCAGGCTTAATGTCTCTGCAACAAATAAAAGGTGGCTGCACAAAGTTAGAGTGTTTAATTGTGTTATCAAAGGCGAAAAGCGCAAAAAACCTCTATGGTCCATTGGGGCTTTAAGCGCAAAGCGCAAATAAAATGTGGGTTTTAATGAAGAGAGGTCATACATGTCCAAGACTAATAATTTACGCATGAATCAAAGAAAAAGAAAAAAAATACGATAAAGCGAAATATCAATTGTTTAATGTCGTATCTTCAGGATTACGCTCATTGGCAAGGAAAAGTATGCCTTAGAGCCTTGATGATGACGAGGAAGCGCCCATTAAGCGAGGCGAAGCGCTCAACATGTTTTGTGCCTCACTTCAGGGCTTAAGCGCACTTTAAGCGCGCCTTTGACAACTTAAAGAAGTCCAGAGCCAATATAAAAAAAGATCATAACAAACTACATCGCTGTATCAAATCAAGCCACAACCTATGTATGTAGTTATGTTTATGGATAGATTCAATTGCCAAAACAGTCTCTGCGACATAAAATCTAGCTTCATCTTCGGTTAATATATCCTTCCTCATGAGAAGTGTCATCATATCTCCACCAGGTAGATATTCCATAACAAGATACAGATAGTCGTCATCTTGGAAAGAATAATACAGTTTGACGATGCAATCACTGTCAACCTCCGCGAGAAGATTTCTTTCAGCTTTCACATGCTCGACCTAAAATACGAAAAAGCTAAGGACCAGTAAAAATATAATTGTCGAATCAATTGTAGCATTTTGATGACCATAATCATATATACCTGTCCTCTACGAAGCATTTCTGATTTCTTAAGCTTCTTCATTGCATATACCTGACCAGTTGTTTTCTCCTTACAGATTCTGACCTGTAATAACAGAGAAACCAATCATGCGATTGGCTTTTTTTCGACAAAGAACTAGCTTTAAGTACCATTAAAAATTATGAAATTAACAGCATAGTTAACCTATGAATATTAATACCGTAAACCACAAATATACCTCGAGTGATAGAGATAACTGTAGGAAATTAGTACCATAAACCACAAATATAGATTACATTGTCATAAAATATCAGTTACAAACTAATTTCTGGATACTGATACCGTAAAATATTCACACGATTCACCACCGAGGAGCAATAAAATGCAATTCATCATCTATATTTTCTCACAGCATAGAGAAATAAGGAACCGTAAATTATACTATTTTATATAAGAAATTTTAACTTCCAAATACAGAGTAAAGGCAAAAAGAAAGGCTGTGGAGAACAGAAAATTGCACCAGTGACAGAATAAATGAAGAGGAACATAGTTGTTTTTGATAGAAACATTACCTCTCCAAAAGCACCCTTTCCAATCATCGTTAATAACTCAAAATCATCAGCTCCCATTTTATGCCTTTGGAGTCGCATGTATTCAGTTTCCTTCTTTTCTAAAAATTTCAGTAGGTTATTTTGATCTTCCTCGGAGACATCAGCATCTACCAACTTCTTTTCTAGCAAAATTCGCCTGCAAGATAAAAGAGAAAAAGGAAATGGATAGAATTTAAAGCATTATAGATGCCAGAAAAGTTCAGAAATATCAAGTTATTATTCTTAAACAAAGCAAAACAGTAAAATAAGAAAGAGCGAAAAGGAAAGGGGATGACTATCGTGTAATAAGAACTTTTAAAACAACGAGTTCAGGTTAATATGGAACTACATTTTCTCCATATGTTGTTTTTATTGGTTCCGCACAACACCGCATAGAGACGAGAAATTATGTTCTATACTTTACTAGCATTGTTAAAGGAATTATATTATCATCACAAAGCAAAAAAAGAAGGGTGAAATCTGAAGCAAAAAATGATTTTACGGGGATGCCAAAGGTACGGCTTAAGCCAATAGAAAGTATTCCAACGTCTCACCAAGCGCCAGATCCAACATCCTTACTCTTCTTCGCCAATCTTAAGCATTTTTTTTCTAAAAAAAAAAGAAAAGAAGTGCATAATGTCCGTTTGGAGGGTCTGGGTATACAAAATAGCCAAATGTTGTTTTAAATGTTCTCCTTTTCTCTTTAATCGGCTCAAATGCTCACAGGATTAAGCAAGTACGGAAGGTATTACTGCTACTAAAATCATAGTCAGCCAGTAGCAGAGCTAGGATTTTCACTTAAGGGGTGTCAGAATTTAAAAGTAAAGGGAATTCAACACATAGTATATATACATAAAAAAAATTAGCTATTGAAACCGTGTAATTTTCCGCGAAGGGGTGTCAATAACACCCCTTGGATCCATGTGGCTCCGCCGCTGAGTTCAGCATACCGATTGAACCTCTCCATCTATGGAGGAACATGTCTCTAATGAAACTAAGGAACAAAGTAATGTTGCATGAAAAACTAATAGGTCTAGTAACAAGGAAAGAATGAAACTAGCATCAATGTCGTACCGCTCCCTTCTCTCCTGCAAATTTTTCATCTGCTCTCGGTAATGTTTCTCGATGTATTGCTTTGCTGCAGCGACTCTCTGCTTTGTTATATTGGAAGCCTCTTCAGCTGACGCCGGCTTGCCATCTTCTCTTCCACTAGCCATTGAATCCTTCTTTGTTGACGCCAATTTTTGGAACCAACCTCTTGCTGAATCCATTCACATATCCTCAGCGCGTGAAGCAAAGCATAAAGAATCCTCAAACCACATACACATTGTAATCGGACTTAAACTCATACCGAAAGTTGAAAACCTATTAACAAAACATAAAGGCATCACTTCAATGCAGAACAAATGAACTAATCTGTTTTTGACATTAATACTAGTTAAATCCAAGTTTCGCTTGGTTTTCCACTAACATCAAGATTTCAATATTAAACATCATAATTACCAAAAAACACAAATAGGAATCAATTCAACACATATATTACCAAAGTCATCTCCTTTTGACAATGACAGTAGTAAAATCCACGTTTTGTTTGGTTTTCCAACAAAATCAAGATTTCAATTTTAAACCATCATAATTACCAAAAACACACATAGGAATCACTTCATCGCGGAACAAATAAAGTAATCTGTTTTTGACATTAACACTAGTTAAATCCAAGTTTTGTTTCGTTTTCCACTGCAATCAAGATTTCATTTTGAACCAACATAATTACCAAAAACACATATATGAATCAATTCAATGCAGAAAATACCAAAGTCATCTCCTTTTAACAATGGCATTAGTTAAATCCAACGGTAAAGTTGTCTCCGTATGACCTATAGGTCACGGATTCGAGCCGTGGAAGCAGTCTCTAATATTTGCATTAGGTTAGGCTGCCTACATCAAGGGTGTGACCCTTCCTGGACCCTGCGCAAACACGGGATGCCTTATGCACCGGGCTGCCCTTTTAGTAGTTAAATCCAACTTTTGTTTGGTTTTCCGCCAAAATTAAGATTTCATTCCGAACCATCATAATTACCAAAAACACACATAGGAATCAATTCAATGCAGAACATATTAAAGTCATTTGCTACTACCGATAATAAAATGGACCTTGGGTCTAACTCAACCTCAAAATTTAGCTTGCTCAAAATCATACAAGGAGACAACTCATTTCATCAACCAATGTGGTAAAATCTAACAGCTCCCTTTGTTTGGTTTTCCACCAAAATCAAGATATTACCAAAAATAGAATAATGAGCAATAATAAGGGCCCGTTTGGCCATAAAAATTTCAATTTTTTCGGAGTCAGTGTTTGGCCATGAAAATTCAAATTTACTTGAAGTTGAATTTCAATTTTTTTCGGAAATTTGACGAACTCCAAAAAACAATTTTTCTCTTCAAATCACTCATAAAAATTCAAATGCAGCTCCAAATTGTATTCATGTCCAAACACAACTCTAATTTTCAAATACCATTTTCACTTGATTTTTTTTTTTTAACCTTTTTTTCAGAATTTCACAATTCTTATGTCCAAACGCGCACTAAGTCTTTTCTCATAAAGATGTATAAAATATGATTATTAAAGTAGCAGATCCAATCCAATCATGAGTAATGATGCAATTTTCTTCAAAGATCAAAACTTTATTTCAAATTAAAACAAACCCAACAAGGAAATAAAGAATCTTGCAAAACTCACATTCATTTCTGATGATTTTCTTGAAATTATGAGCACATGCAAATTTGACAAACTCCCATATTAACATTTATTTCACACATCAAAATTAATGAAGAATTCATGTAACATAAATTGTATAATAAACTTGCCCACGTCATTTTAATAAAATCAAATTCAAAAGAATATGAAATAAAAACACCCAAAATATAATAATACAGACCCACTTACTGAAAAATCTTGGTGAAGAAGAAGATGAGATTAACAGTAATCAGATTGCATAAAAAGGGTGTACAATTATATATATAATGAATATGGATAAATAGTGAAAGAGATATGAAGGTGAATAAAATCTTTGTGTTATGTACTTTTTTTTTTCTATTTTTTTTTTGTTTTTTGTTTTTTACGTGGAAGTTAAAAAAAAATGGGAAAGAAGAAGAAGAGACAGTTAAGCGGCAGTTTCGCAAGTTAGAATTGACTATTGGATCAGCTTCCTCCGCTTCCCTTTTTATTGTTTTTTTTTAACCAACTATTATAGTATTTTAATTTAATATAGTAAGTTATTTGCTTTACTAAATTACTAGATTAAGTTTATTACATATACAGTCAAACTCGTTTATTCTGAATATTTTTTGATGTTATAGTGAAATGTTGTTATATAGAACATATATTATAACATAATATGAAAACTGATTCCGGAAAAGTTTGGCTTTTACAGTAAGATATTGTTACATAGGGATGTTGTTATAGAATGTTTGATTGTAGTTACATGTTGTTACAGGCTTTGTTTATTTAATAGTATAAAATAACTTTATATTATCAGCATATTGAAGTTAAACTCGTTTTAGAACTTGCGTGTACTCCAATTAATTCGTGAATAATGATAATTAAATCCACGAACGTGGAACTGAGTCATTTCCCCAATAATTAAGCACGAAATGGAGAATCTTTCGATAGAGATGTTTTGTATTTTTACTAGGCTTATTATGTGAAAATTCAGGGTAAAATTTCGCAAGTTATTCCTTTTTGTATCAATCGTTTAATGTATTGTCTTCCTTTTAGTTCTCTTGCGACTGATGAACTTTTTATACCAGGATTTAAAAATCGTGTTGGAACAAACTGAAGATATTATGAGAAAACGTTTGACTACCGTCTAAAAATTCGTAAGTTATTGCCTACGCTAGACCACGGTCTAATATTTTGTGAGCAAACTGATAATTATATGAATAAATGTTTAGGAATAATTAATAATTTCCCAAGGACTATATTTGTACGGCTTTTCAGAATATAGACAAAATCCAAACAATAATCTAAAAAGGGAATATTTATATAAATTAATCAAATCCGAATTAGTCAAGTAAATAAAATTTAATATCAGATAATTAAAAGAAATATGTTCCACGTTTTGTCGTTCCATGCCAATCAAATCTAATTCTTATTTAGTAATGAAAGTTGACCATTTTTGTTGTCTCATGGATGTGTACATGGGAGCAACAAATCATGTGTAAGTTGACAGGTAATATTTTATTCATTTGCCTTTAATACCTTAAACAATTACAGTTGTTTTTCATGTTGTCTTCTTTGCACGATGCCCAATTGTCTATATCCTAATATTTATATCTATCTATATAGAATAGCAGAAGTAAATTCATATTATTATGCCAAGTGTTAAAATAATAATTGAACATATGTTAAATTTTAGGACAAATCTCCAACTAATTTAGAGGTACAAAAATAATTTAAAATAGAAAATAAGTCCAAATTTAAAATTCTAATTCAGTTTATATCAACATCCGAGTCCCACGTTTTTGCTCCCTTTCAAGGTCTCAAGTTCGAAACCCACTGGGTGCAAACAATTTCTGAGGGCCTGGTGGCAATAGACATGAGCCTTGGGGTTTGCTCCCTTTCAAGGTCTCAAGTTCGAAACCCACTGGGTGCAAACAATTTCTGAGGGCCATCGGACTGGGTAAAACCTGAATTAACCGTGGTGCACTTGCAGGAAACTCCTTGCCGAGGGCCTGTGCACCCCCGGAATTAGCCGGGCTCTTAGAGACTCGGACACCCGGTACAAATCAAAAAAAAAAAAAAAACAAGTTCAAAAAATTAAAAACTTCCAATTTCAGTTTCATCAATATTGAGTCCCACGTTTACTGTTTTTTTTTTAAAATATTTGTTAAACCTGAAAAATCAAAGTAACAAAAAAACTACTTTGATCCACGTTAAAAACTGACTTTCACTTTTGGAATTTGATTCACAAAGAAACAAGAAGAAATAATTTAAATAAAAAAAACAAAAACAAAACAAAACCCACGATCATCTTCCCAAACGTGAGTATCCTAACCTAACTTCATAATTTATCCACTATCTCCATAACTACAAATAATGTTTTATGCAACTCCTCCTTTTAATTTCTTTTCCATTCCCTTTTTTTTTCTGTGCTCAGAATACAGAACTTTGCAAAAATAAGCTACAAGAGGAGGAGGCAGCAGAAGAAGCTAAGGAATCTGCCTGATTTTAAGACACTTAAATCAGCAGACAAATGTAATATTTGTTTTTCTGGATTCTCCTCTTGCTTCCCCGTACGTATAGTCTATAACTGCTCCTGAGTTTTTGTATCAAAACCAACTTTATTTGCGATCATACTTACTATGTTCTCAATCAAAAAAAAAAAAAAAAGAATGGTTCAAATGTGAGAAATCTCCGTTGGTTTCAAGCCTGAAATACCATATTGTATAGAGTTGATTTTATAGGATGCGAAGGTAACGTATTCATAATTAATTTTTTTATACTTCCTCTTCTCTGTTGTTATAGTTCATAAATTTTCGGTAATTTTCAATTCAATAAAACTTTTCATGTAAAACTACTTGTATAGTACTCTTAGTTCTCTTTCTGTTTCTAACGTTACTTTACAATTGTGTATGAATTTCCAGAAATCCTCAAATACGTGAAACTATCCACATGAAACAATTATATGGAGTATCCTTATTTCTATTTATGTGGAGTATCTTCTTTTGAGGTAACGTATTCATAATGAGTTTTTTATACTTCATATTCTTTGCTGTTATAGATCATAAATTTTCGATAATTTTTAATTCAATGAAACTTTCCATGTAAAACTACTTATGTACTACCCTTAGTTCTCTTTCTGTTTCTAACGTTACTTTCACAATTGTGTATGATTTTCCAGAAATCCTCATATGAATGAAACTATCTACATGAAACGATTATGTGGAGTATCTTTATTTCTAAACCTTCGCGTTCGCGATGGTCTGTCCCCCCTAACCATCGCATTCGCGGGCCTGGGACCACGTTCGCGAAGAGCAACTCGATGATTTCCCCAGCCCACCTCCATTACACTACGCATTCGCGTAAGGTCGGTCGCGTTCGCGAAGCGCTAACCCCCCAGTGCTCCGCGTTCGCGACCAAGGACTCGCGTTCGCGTAGAAGAAATCCCTCCCCAGCCCAACTTGCACTTCGCGTTCGCGAGAGTTGCTTCGCGAACGCGAAGCACAAAGCATCAGCATACCAGAAGCAGCAACACAGCAGATTTTCTAAGTGTAAATCACCCCGTAGCCTATCCGAAACTCACTCGAGCCTTCGGGGCTCCAAACCAAACATGCACACAAATCCAAAAATATCATTCAGACTTGCTCGTGCGATCAAATTACCAAAATAACACCTACAACTACGAGTTTAGCATCAAATTGCATAAAATTTTCATGAAAGTTCACAAGTTCATATTATTATGCCAAGTGTCAAAACAATAATTGAACATATGTTAAATTTTAGGACAAACCTCCAACTAATTTAGAGGTTCAAAAATAATTTACAATAGAAAATAAGTCCAAATTTAAAATTCTAATTCAGTTTATATCAACATCTGAGTCCCACGTTTTTGGGCAATTTTATTTATTTGTTAAAATAAGTTCAAAGTCCCATGTTTTTGGGCTGTTTTTTTTTTATTCGTTAAAACAAGTTCAAAAAATTAAAAACTTCCAATTCACTTTCATCAATATTGAGTCCCACGTTTATTGGACTATTTTTTTTTTAAATATTTGTTAAACCTGAAAAATAAAAGTAAAAAAAACTACTTTAATCCACGTTAAAAAGTCACTTGCACTTTTGGAATTTGATTCACAAAGAAACAGGAAGAAATAATTTAAATAAAAAAAACAAAAACAAAACAAAACCCACGATCATCTTCCTAAACGTGAGTATCCTAACCTAACTCCATAATTTATCCACTATCTCCATAACTACAAATAATGTTTTATGCAACTCCTCCTTTTAATTTTTTTTCCATTCCCTTTTTTTCTGTGCTCAGAATACAGAACTTTGCAAATATAAGCTACAAGAGGAGGAAGCAGCAGCAGAAGCTAAGGAATCTGCCTGATTTTAAGACACTTAAATCAGCAGGCAAATATAATATTTTTTTTTCTGGATTCTCCTCTTGCTTCCCCGTACGTATAGTCTATAACTGCTCCTGAGTTTTTGTATCAAAACCAACTTTATTTGCGATCATTCTTACTATGTTCTCAATCAAAAAAAAAAAAGAGTGGTTCAAATGTGAGAAATCCCCGTTGGTTTCAAGCCTGAAATACCATATTGTATAGAGTTGATTTTATAGGATGCGAAGGCAACGTATTCATAATTGATTTTTTTATACTTCCTCTTCTCTGTTGTTATAGTTCATAAATTTTCGGCAATTTTCAATTCAATAAAACTTTCCATGTAAAACTACTTGTATAGTACTCTTAGTTCTCTTTCTGTTTCTAACGTTACTTTCAAAATTGTGTATGAATTTCCAGAAATCCACAAATACGTGAAACTATCCACATGAAACAATTATATGGAGTATCTTTATTTCTATTTATGTGGAGTATCTTCTTTTGAGGTAACGTGTTCATAATTGAGTTTTTTATACTTCATATTCTTTGCTGTTATAGTTCATAAATTTTCGATAATTTTTAATTCAATGAAACTTTCCATGTAAAACTACTTATGTAGTACCCTTAGTTCTCTTTCTGTTTCTAACGTTACTTTCACAATTGTGTATGAATTTCCAAAAATCCTCAAATACATGAAACTATCTACATGAAACGATTATGTGGAGTATCCTTATTTCTATTTATATGGAGTATCTTCGTTTGAATTTACTAATTTTGTTGTAAAGGTTGATGAACCAACTAGGAAAATAATTGCTGAGATTATTCCTGAAATGTTTGTAGGGTCAGCTCCCATATAGGAAGAGATGGATAGCAACAAATCTGTCATGCTGATTAAAAAAATACAACGCGCGGATGCAAATACTAAATTTATAATGCTTAAAAGAATTTACTAATGAAGTTTTGGAATAATGCAACACTGTCCTTCAGAGTAATCATTCCCTGATTGCGCATGTAT